TTAAGCAGCGGCTCCACCTGGCTATCCGTCACTGTGAAACTCAAGAGTGTGGGTACAGCGGTTACTAACCAGAGGGCAGAAAGTTGTCCCAGAAATGGCCAATATTGGTTTTATGAACCTTTTCAATTTTTAATTGGGTTACTCAGTGTTCCAGATGTAACAGACACCTGGCCAGCCAGGTGAGGGCTCATGACATCAGAATGACTGCCCAGTCCCCACCCCACTGGGACAACTTCCCCGACCTCACCACCAGGTCAGTTAGGGTCCCCACTACTGGCTCTCTTCAACTCCTCTTAGCAAAATATCTGCCTCCATGGCCGAGTTGATTCACACATTCAAATTATTTAGTGAAATGTCTGCAGAGAATACGCTTTGGTATCTCAGCATTATCATATTACAGACACATGGGCTGAGAGCCAGAGTTTTCCATTAGATCCCCTGAAATAGTTTTTTAAAAATGCATAAAAACAACCCTCAAACATCCTTTTCTTGAAAAATCCCTGCACTCTGTCTTTCATGCTTAACGAGAAGACTGTCTCTTAACACACTGACAAGCTTATCTCCCCCTATAAACTGAAAACAGACCCCCACTGCTGCTTGCAGGAACTGATCCCAGTCAAAAATACCTTCTGATGCTGTTCTTCCTCCATAATCAATTGTATTTTCAACACTTAATAATTTCTCCCTTGGTCTGAGATGTAAAAAAAACATCCCACGGAATAGGGGAAAAATAAGTTTTCACTCATGAAGTGGCAGGCCAGTTACTGTAAAGGGGTAGGTAACCAACCAAAATGAAAAACGTTTTCAGTTCTCTTTGGAATACACTTTTTGCTACAATTTCACCACTGAAAACCAGGAAATTGGTTGGGAAACATCGAGTTATGCCATCGGCCTGGCCAGCAGACTCGCTGTGGCATGTTCCTTAATTCTTTGTCCTTTTCTTAATGACCTGCCTGGCAGGTGGAATGAGATAAGTCCTCCTGCTGGTTTTTACACAAATGCTTTAAGGTGAAGGCTCCTGCCTGCAATCAGGCACTGCCATTGGCCCTTTCGAGACAATCTTAGAGCTGAGACAAACATGAGAAGTCACAGAAGCCAACACCTCATTTCAAACAAGAGGCTACGGAGGCTAGGTCAGGGAGTTTAGAACAGATGATGTGTGGATGGTATGGAGTGGATGGAGAGGTGACTGCATGGACAGACAGACGGACAGATGGATAAGAGTACAGGGTTAGGCATCAGGAGCTCCTCATTTTAATTTTGGCCCAATCACCAACTATTTCTTTCCAACCTAGGCAGATCATTTCATTTCTCTGAGACTGCTTTCCCTTCTGGATGAGGCAATTAGGCTAGAAGGCTCCCTCAGGTCCCTTCCAGCTCTCCTAGTCTTTAATTTCAGGAAACAAGAAAACTTTTCAAAACTGTTCAACTTGGCGATGCTGGGACGATTTTGCCAGAATCACCCAGAATTCACAGCACTGTAATCATGATAGGAGGGACCTGGGAGGTGTTATGAATCCACAGGGTTGACACTGGGCATACGGATTTACTTGCAATGACTACTCTTAAAATTGCATTAGAAAGAATTTTTCACAATAGTCAAGACATGGAAGCAGCCAAAATATCTATCTACAGATGATGAATAAAGAAATTGTGATACACACACATACATATATGCACACTGGAATATTACTCAGACATAAAAAAGAAATCCTGCCATTTATCATTCGCAACAACACGGATGGACCTTGAGGGCTTTATGCTAAATGAAATAAGCCAACAGGGAAAGACAAATACCAAATGATCTCACTTATACGTGGAATCTTAAAAAAAACAAAAAAACAAAAGAAACCCCAAACTCACAGAAATAGAAAGTAGGTTGGTGGTTGCCAGGGGTTAGGGGTGGGGGAAATGAGTCAAAAGGGTACAAACTTCCAGTTATAAGACGAAAAAGTTCTGGGGACGTAACGTACAGCATGGACTATGGTTAGCAATACTGTATTATATATTTGAAAATTCTTAATAGCGTAGATCTTAAAAGTTCTCAGCACACCAAACAAATTGTCACTATATAATGTGATGCATGTGTTAACTAATCTTACTGAAGTCTTCATTTCACAGCATAGACATGTATCAAATCATCATGTTGCAATTCTTAAACTGACACAATGTTACATGTCAATTATATCTCAATCAAGCTGGGGGTGGAAATTCTCTTAACTTTCTCTTAAAAAAAAAGTGACTGTAAGCAGAGTTTTATCAAAAAGAAGCTGTTCCCACCTTGAATCAAGACATTCAAGTTATAAGAAGGAAACAGCACACACAGGAAAAGGCCTGCCTTGCTTTGTAGAGGGAAAAGGCAGGGTTACCTACTCACCCTGGGAGACTGTGTGCATTTGACTTTGTTCTCGAAGTCTCTTGTGAAATCAAGACTGTCCTCCTGGGCCTATAACGTCTCTTTATAGCATATTTATATGTATTTCATTTAATTTAATTTGATTATCAATTTAATTTTCCCCTAGACCCCAAATTCCATTTGGCAGGAAAGACTCTGTAAAAATGGGGTGCCTCTTCGGAGTGAACCCCTTCTGTCTGCTCAAATGGCTCTTTTCAATAATGACGCTTTTCTTAAGTTGTAAAACAGCAGGAAGCAGAGTCAACAATATACACAGGCAGGCCATCACAACTGCACATTCTTCCTGCTGACTGCCGGTTCTTAAAAGTCTGAGCAGCCGCCATTTGTTTCCCGAAGCTCACCCACCTCGTTAGTACTTTGAATGTTACAGGAAATACTGGCAGTGGGGCCCAAACTGCCCTTTTTTATGCATGAAAGACTAGCAGAAGAGGAAGGACTCCCGAGGGGTCACGTGGTGCAAGCGGCTTCCTCCAGGCAGGAAGTCCCAGAACTGTCCCAGAGATGGCTCTTGCTCCTATTTTTCTTTTTTAAAAGTTTTAAAAATTGAGGTATAGTTGATATACAAAATGATGTAAGTTTCAGGTGTGCAACATAGTGATTCGTAATTTTTAAAGGTTCGATTCCATTTATAGTTATTATAAAATACTGGCTATCTTCCCTGTGTTGTGCTGTATAATCTTTGTATCTTATTTATTTCATACATCGTAGTTTGGACCTCATCATCCCCTACCCCTGTCTTGCCCCTCCCCATCTCCCTGCTTCTGTTTTTAAAGATAGAAATTCTACAGCCTCCTGAGTGAGGCTTTCTCAAAGTTTAATTAGTGTCAAGGTCAATTTCCTCACACCTCACGGCTGCCTGTCCCTTCCCCCGTGCCTGCTATAATCTGAGCCTGCCTCCTCTTTGGTCCTCTGTCAGTGCCAAGGCACCTGCATGGCATCTTTTATGTTGAATACAGGGACATTAGGAATCTTCAGTTTCCCATTCCTCCTTTGGAAACCTCCAAAGTTGGGTTTGGTTGTAACTGTGTGATTCTGAGCCTGTGGTTTGCTTGGAATTGGAATCAGGGGATGCTACCAAGTCCCAGAGTTTCCTGAGTCTGGGCATGGCCAGAACGTCTCCTGGGGCTTTCAGAGAAAAAGCTGTGAGGGGGAAATGAGGTCAGAAATTATGGGAGTCACGGAGCAGGTGAACGGCACCAAAGAAGTGGTGAATGAAACACACGTCCTGGAGGGCTGTCCCAGGTGGGTGTGGTGGTTCTCTGCGGAGCTCTGCCCACTCCGGGGGACTGGGAAAGCTGAGGCAGCACCCAGGATGGTTCTGTACGTGATCAAGGGGCTAAGAGGCTGCGGCCAGGACAGTAGGAAAGACTGCTGGAAGCTGCGGTGCTCACAGGATGACCTGTAGAGGGCCACGACCCAGAGCTGCCCCTAGAGCCCCCCTCAGCACCACCCTGATGGGAGGGTCCCCTGGAGGACTGGCCCCGGGGGGAACAGCAGCCAGAGAGGCTCTATGGGGAATTGCTAGCATTTCTGGGGTTCATTCTCTTTCAGTATTATCCCCATTTTACAGATAAGGAAACTGAGGATCAGAAAGGCTCCATATTTCCCCAATGGCTGAATTGCTTGAACCAGAACACTACCTGTTTGCCCCAGAACCCAAATTCTTAACCACTTCATTTCAAGACCTGACATCCTTGCATCTCCGTTTCCTGGCAGAGTAGCAGGCCCTAGTTTTGAAACTGCCCCCCTTTCTCCTTGAGAAGAGAGAACCTTAATTTTCCACCGGGGGCCTGATCGGGCTAAGGGGCATGCAGGTGCTGAGAGGGGGCTCCAGTCAGCTCCACAGATCGGGAGCAGTAACCAGCCTCCATCCCGGGGAAGGGTGTGGTTCTGGAAAAGAGTGTTACTCTGGTGTTTACTCAAAGATAGTCATTAAGTCACCGTGAAGACATTTTTCTGCAGACTAAACAACCCCACTCCTTTTTTAAAAAAGCTTTCCTCACAGGAGCTCTTTTTTTGGTACCTTCTTTCTATATTTACTGGTTTTCCCCAGGCGCTCTTCTCCCCTCCCGTTCTCTATTTTAAACAATCCTGTAATAAGATTTTGATCTGTGCCACAGAAAGAAAAGGGTCATTTTCACAGTTTTCATCTTTGGCCTTAACGGATTAATAAAAGGCCAGCATGGATGATAGTCAGCCCCTTTGTGGTCCACTCTGACCCTCCAGACTTTTTTGGCCACTTCTGCACCCGGCCAGTCTTCCACTGTACTTTACCACATACTTGGTCTTTAGTCCCACGCCGCCCCGAAATGATCCTAACATGCACTTGAGTCAGCTTGATTTCCTTCTGCCTTCTAAGAGGATACTTCAAGAAAAGAGCCTAGTGCTCAGAGACAACCTTTGAGGAGTGAGAATGTCAAAAATAAAATTCTTTTTCCCTTCAGGGGCCTGACTTTCCCCTCTGGCAGAGCTTTTAGCCACATGTGAGTGATGCCGATCGAACGCAAGGATTCTGAGACATTGTCCCTGGTGCCGGAGTGTACCAGCCCGGAGGGGGTGCTAGCCCCGAGGGGGGCCCACTTACTTCGAGGTTCTCGGGGTCCATCCACTGTAATTTTGATGGCTCTGTGGTAGGTGGCGACTTGCGGTGGGTTTGTGAAGACGGTGATGGTCAACGTGAAGCTCTTCCCTGTTGGAACACAAAAGAGAGCAAAGATGAGTGAGGCAGGGGCCTGAATCTGTCTGCTGGGTAATTCAGAATGAATTCTTGCTTTCCAGCCCTCAAACTGAAAAGGTGGCAGTCCTTCAGTACATGTCACTGGTTTTTCCAATGTTCCCTTGAGTTTGGTTTTGCTTCAGTTCTGGAATGTACACCTGCGTTGCTTTTTTAGATGTGCCACTTCCCATAGGCAGGTGGCTTTCGTTTGGTCCCTAATAAAACAGGATCAGGAGAGATTCAGATTTGTTTTCTTTCAGGTCAAGACCCCAGGAGCATAGGAGCAGATGGACAGCTCTCCAGTCCTCCCCGCCATGTCCACCCTTTTCATAAGCTCAGGGCAAAAAGAGTGAAAAAGAAAATTTCCATCCTTCCTCTCTAACGTTGTACCTCCAAGGATTAGGAAAGATAGAATTCCTAAGTTTGGGGATAGGCTAAATTACAATTATTCTCTCTGTATTTTAAAAATACTAATTGTTGGTTGATTTTAAATATCATTTTGAAATGCCAGATGTCATTCTAAGCAGTCATGGGACTGGCCAGATAACATTTACAGTCAATAAATGGACTTGATGATATGCAACTAACAGGCTGAGATTCAGTTACAATTGTTAGCATACATATGTATATGGATTGCCAGCTAAGCATTTTATACATACTTAGGAAATGTGGGCATGTCTTCATCGCCTATGTCTAATGCAATGCTTTTAATAACTTTTAAAGGTTGTTTTACAAATATACAATTTATAATAAAAGTATTAGTATATAAACATATTATTATTTAAAAGCATTGCTTCCTGGCTAGGTGGTGCAGAGAATGTACTCTGGGTTTGAATTCTGTCTAGCCGACCTCTGGCAAGTCACCAGCCATCTCTGTGCCTCAGTGTCCTTACCTGGAAGATGGGTACATATAACATTTCCTACCTGACAGAATTTAGGGAGAGGCTAAATGAGTTAATATGAGTAAAACCATTAAAAGAGTATCTTGGTTCACTGCAGTCAAAGGTATGCATGTGTGTGCATGTGTGGAAAGAAGACAGACAGACACAGCTCTTCCTGCAAGACAGTTAGAAGATTTGGCTTCCTGTACAAATATCTGACCTCTCCAGATTTCAGATTCCTTGTCTGAAAAATGAGGGGGTTCCTGGGCTACATACAATGTCACTTTTAACTCTGGTTTTTACCTTCTGAGATAAAATCCCGGTGCCCAACTCCACATGTAGGCGTGCACCTGCCCCATATGTCCTCTGCTGCCTGCAACATCAGCATTTCAGAGATTCCCTGAAAACACTGTATTTCCTTCCTAGGGCTGCTGTAACAAATTACCACAAACTGGGTGGCTTAAAACAACTGAAATTTATTGTCTCAGAGTTCTGGAGGCCAGAAGTCCAAGATGGAGGTGTTGACAAGGCCACATTCCCTCCAGGGAAGAACCCCATGTGGCCTTGCCCCAGCTTCCGGTGGTTACTAGCAAGTCTTGGCACTCTTCGACTTGTGGCAACATCACTCCAGTCTCTGCCTCCTTCCCTCTGTGTCCTCTGTCTCCGAATCGCCCTCTCCTTACAAGGATAACAGTCGTCGGATTTAGGGCTCACCCTCTTCTAGTAGGACTTTACCTTGATTAAATCTGCAAAGCCCCTATTTTTGAATAAGGTCACATTCTGAGGTTACTCATGGATGTGACTTTTTAACCATGAGACTACCCAGGGATATGAAAGAGGACTATTCAACCCAGTACAAACACCAAATGTCATAAAGAGTTCTGGTCTTAGCACTACAAGTGACAACTGCTCTCCAGGCCCCTGTGGGTTTTACCCACTGAAATGGTCCCAATTCTGTGGCGGCCCTCCTACAACCATCCTATGCTTGATTTCCTAAATGACAACAAAGAATCACTGTCTTCAAAATGTTGGCATTTTTAGGCCTGTGTAGAACTGACAACTTAACACCTTCCCATATGCTATTTCATTTGGTCCTTGAAACACTCTCATGAAATAAACAAGATAGATTTTCTTGTCCTTGGTTAGTAGGCAGCAAAGCTGAAGCTCAGAGAGGGTGAGCGGTTTGTCCAAAGTCACACAGCTCGGGTACATAGAAAACCTAGATCTCTCAGCTTTGTGCTTCACATTATTGTCATGAAGTCCTAAATCTCTGCCTGCCAACTCAGTGGCACCAGCACCAGGAATCCAGACTCACGGTACCTTTTCTGTGCTCTGCCACTGCCCCCCAAAGTGAGAATAGTCCTGGTGAGGCTCATGTACCCAAACTGTCCGCAACAGCTAATTATAAGCCTGGGTTACAGTTCAAAAGCAGTTTCTTACTAAGCTGAATGTGGGCTCCTGGCGCTTAATGCCGCCCTCTGGTTAACCACAGACTGGCCTGAATTGGGAATGAAATTCAACCAAAGTGAATATTTGTGAAATCGTTGCTTGTAATTACAATTCTATTATTTTCTGTGCAGTCGAGAAGTGTCTGTCCAGCAAAAACAGCTAGGTGGGGCATTTTGGCCACAGTCACGTGGCTCACGAAGGTGGAGGTATTCCGGGTCACCTCCCGCACAATGAGCTCTTGTTTACTGCTTTGAGCAGCAGGACATCTGCTTATTACCTCATAGACAGAGGCAATAAGTGATGACATTTTGCTCACAGGTGTGTGTGCCATTTTCCACTTCAGGAAAACTCTGCCTGCCACTTCCCTGTATTCTTCCGAGCAGACCTGGCGCGGGTGTGCATACCTGGGGACGGTCAGCCAGTGGGCACAGCAGACCCTCGGAGCCCCGCCCCCTGCGCCCCGCCCCCGCCCCGCCCGCGCCCCGCCCCTGCTCTTCCCTGCCCAGACACAGCCCTCCTCTGCCAGCACCTGCAGGCGTGGTAGCTGCACCCAGAGCACACGTGTGATTAGCCAAATTCCCTCATTAAAATGACCTATGGGCCTGGTATTTTAAGTGCGTGGGTGTGGAGAATAAAAGGCTGACTCTCAAGTGTTTTTCTCAGCAGGCTGTAGCCAGACTAGTACCAAGGCAACAGGAGAGCAAAGGAGGACCTATGGGCTAAATCACCACCACCCCGACATCGGCAATTCTGGATCAAACGCAGGGCTGGGAGGTGGTGGCGCTGCCGCAGAGAGAACTGATGTTTACATTTGCAGCCTGAGTGGGTCCTTGCCCAGAGAGGCTAGAAGGCTCCCAGCAGCCCTGGATTTGGCCCCTTTGGAGACAAGCAGTGGCCTTGGCCAGCACACAGGTGGCCCTGGCTGTGCGGCTGAAAGGCTGTAGCTCTGGGCTCCCAAGGCGGGGGCAAGCTGCAGGGTCACCGGTGCCCTGCGGGGGGATTCACAGTGGAGGAAGCTAAGGAAAGGGCACCCTTGAGAACTTCCTTCTCCGGCTCTCAGGAACTTCACCTAAACAGCACCCTGAGTTTTGGCTGATGGTCGGGTCCAGGAGGAGTACTATGTAGAAGCACCAACACTAGGACTGAATAAGAAGGAGGAAAGAAACAATGAAGGAATGAAGGCGTCTCTTGACTTAAGACCGGAAGCAGCAAAAGACAAGAACTTGATTGTACAATCCCGTGTTAGTGCAGACGCGCGGGGTGCTAGTTAACAGCATGGACCCTCAAGTCAACCTGCCTGGGTTCAAATCCCAGCTCTGCCACTTGTAAGCTGTGTGACCTGAGGCAAGTTACTTAACATCTCTGGGCCCTCAGCTTCTTCACCTGTGAAACAGAAGCGATAACTGTCTTTCCATCTCACAGTGTTGTTAGGCAAGTTAAATGAAAGAATGCATCAGCTAACATCAGTTTAATTATCATGAAAGATGTGATAAACACGATTCCACAAAGACCAGAGTGGTGGGCAGTCTGTGAGGAAGGGAGGGTTGGTGGCAAACGGGCGGTGAGGTCTGACGGTGGGAGCGGAGGTGAGCCTTGGTGTCCCGCAGGTGGTGCCAGTGGAGCACCCCCAGGCTCATCCTCTCTTCTCTAGAATTCCAGCACTCCGAGAGTGCAGAGGGCAGCAGGCCGGCAGTGGCCTGGAACTTAGAGCTCCATCAGGGAAACTGCACAGTTCAACTTGAACTTCAAGTTCAAGTTCACTCCTGTCCCGCCAGCTGGCGACCTTTGTAAGCACAATTGCAACTGGCTGATCCACTTGATAAACAAGCCAGGCCAAATGCTGCCCTCCCCGCTCCCTCCACCCCCACCCCCTGCATGTGTCGTCCCCCTCGACGCCAGTGTGTTCATCCAAATGCCAGTGCAGAAGACTAGCTGCTTTATTTAGTTGGGCAGAAGGTCACGGGGCCAGTCTTCCTGGACATTTGCTGCCACAACACACTCTCCAAGGCGAGGCAGTGACAGCAGCCCCAAGTCTGTGCTTTCTGAGGCCTCATGTTTACGGGGGTACCGGGGCTGGTGAACTCTGGCAGCCCAGCCGGCTGTGGTCTCATAAAGCCGCGGCTGGACCCTGCAGTTCCGCAAGGGCCCGGGGCACACACCCCACTTCCTCACCACATCTGGGAAGTGGTGAAACCTCAGGATTGCTGCAAACGGGTGCACTGCTTCCCCAGGGCAAGGGTGGGGAGAGGAAAGGAAGGTGAAAAGGAGACTGGAGATCATTTCACACCCCCGAGCAGAATAACATCTTCAGAATAAGTGCCCCATCACATCACGACAACGTCATGGCCATGGGTGTCTGAGGGGCAGTCTCTCCTCCTTCCATCCTCCTATGCCTGTCCCTCCCCAGGTTTGGTTCATGGGTAGCCAAGCCGCCGGCACTGGCTCCTTAGCCACTGGGCTCTGTTTTGGTCATTCTCCTTGGTGAACATTTGGACCCGTGAGTCATCTTCTCCTTTTTGGGCCAGTTTCGGTGGGATGTGAAACTTGCCCTTTGTCACGCAAGGGAAGGCTTGTCTGCTGCTGGGGGGTCACACAGCTTAGGAAATGCAATTGTGATATTTTTCACTCATTGGTGCATCTTTG